GGCGTCGGAGTGAGCTGAGACGCGCTGGGTGGGGGAGCGGGCACGCAGCTGTCTGTGTGGGCTCTGTCCCCTGGCCCGGGCCTAGCAGGGTGGGTGGAGAGCCTGACAGCCCTGTGATGGGGGCAGGCCTTGCACACGGAGAGGGACTGTCCTGGGTGGGCATCTCGAACCCGCTTGGGCGGCCCGGCTCCTGTTTGTCCGCAGTGACTCTCGGGTCCTCCAAGGAGCCTTGGGAGGAAGCACGTGGTGGGCAAACGGGCAGGTGCCCGTAGCAGCCCGAGCCAGAGGAAGTGGCCGGCTGGCTCCAGGCCTGCATGTTCTGTCCAGATAGTTTCTCTGGCCCCAGAAAGGAATTCTGAATGTGCCTCCCACCCCTTTGGACAGAGCCTGAGGAGTGTGGGCCGGGCAGGGTAGCGGTTGGGGTTTCCAGGCCCTGGGAGAGGATGCCAGGGATGGTTCTGGGCCTCAGGTAGGGCCAGCATCTGAGGCCACAGTCCATGCTCCCTGCTCCAGCTGGGTCCCCGCTTGGCCACCGCACCCCAAGATGTTTCATGGGGCTTTGGGAAGGGGACCACGTTTCTTTCCCAGGCCACCTGTGGTGCTCTGACCAGTGTCCAGGGTAGGGAGGGGCAAGTGGCTCCTGGGACCAGCAGTCATTTGTCCCAGCCATGCCCTCTGGCTCTAGGCCAGGTTTGGGCCAGACCCCTTCCATGGGCTACCCTGGTGGGGGGTGCCGTACGCAGCTGGTGGCAGTTGCCCAAGCAAGGAAAGGCTCCTGGGAGGGCTGGGTCTGCGTGGGAGCGGGCATTTAAGGCCACAGCTGCTTCCTGGGAGGGGCCTTTGCGTGGCCTTTGTGTGGCCGGGCCTGGGTTTGGGAGGTGCTGGGCAGGAGAGGCTCTGCCTCCTCAGGGCAGAAGCGTTCACTGAATGGAGCTCACAGTGAGGGGTTCCTGAGGAGTGAAAACAGAGGTGGTTTCTTGTACCCTGTGTCAGCGGAGGGCAGGGCGGGGGGGGGGCGGCAGAGAAGGGGGGCACTTCCCTGACAACGGGGGAATGAATTCTGTGTGTCAGGTGCCATGGGGGCACCCCGGGGCAGTGTTGCCCAAAGGTTAGGAGCACAGACTTGGAGCCGTCACTCACACACCTGCGTCACCTCAGGCAAGTCCCCCAGTCCTCTGAGCCTCGCCTGTACACCTGGCAAACGAAGACCCCACCCTCTCCGTCGTTTAGAACAGAGCTATCCAATAAAACTTCCGTCCTTAATGTTTCCTAGTAGCCACCTTAAAAAACAAAATAAAGATTAAAAACCAGCAAACGAAATGCATTTGAATAACCTTTGCCTTTAACGCAATGCATTCCAAACATCCCCACCCCCAAGTCATCAACAGGGAAAACCGTCAAGGAGGTTTTACGTTCTTTTCCCCCACAAAGCCTTTGGGATCGGTGTATCTCACACGCACCGCACACCTGGGTTTGGACTAGCCTCACTGTAGGTGCCCGGGAGCCCCAGGAGACGTGGCTGGACCAGGTCTGGGAAGCAGAGAGTCCTAACCAGGCCAGAGCTGCGTACCAGCTGTGGTTCCCTAAGCTGTCTCGTGGGGAGCACAGGACGGTGGGATCCCATCCCAGGACAGTAGCATCAAGGAGGGAGAGTGTCCTCTGGAATTTGGGTATGTGGAGGCAGAGAGGCCTTGGAGAGTGGGTAGGATGTTAGGAGGCTGTGACGTGAGGATGTGGCAGGGAGCAGAGGAACAGGCCCAGGGAGGGCTGGGCTGGGGTAGAAGCTCAGCTCCCTCCTGGTGAGGTGACAGGCCGTGGTGGGGACTGTGGGGTGGGGGGCGGCGGTGCGTGCCCGCCAAGGGCACACACAGCTTGGGAACTGGAGCCATCCGGAATATGGGTCCGGAGCTGCCAGGCTTCTCTGGTTTGTCCGTGGAAGCCAGAAATCTGGACTTTTATGTGAAATCTGACTTTTCAAAGTTGGCAACCGATTCAAATTCTTTTGAAGCGCTGTGCTTGGCCAAACAAAACATGTGTGCCGGCCGGCTTCTGCCCAGGCGCCCTGTCGGCCAGTTGTGGTAGAGATCGTGTTGGGAGAGAAGCAAGAGCAGCATCCCATGACTAAGACAGGAGCGGGGTGGGGGTGGGGGGCGCTGGCGGTTGGCTTGTCTGCCGGCCCCAGCGGCCCTGGCTTTCCACGATGGGGGGGAGTTGGAGAAGCTAGGAGGGCAGTGGGCCTGTCTCAGACCACAGGGAGGCAGCCTCTGGCATCATGGGCATGGGGGACAAGTTCAGGGCTCCTGGTCTGCCTGAAGTTTGCCTTGGGATTTGCAGGCAGACACCCACTCAGGATGACTCAAATCAGATGGGTACCAGAGAGCAGGGACCCTGGGGGAAGCCAAGGGCAGGCAGTGGAGATGGGCCCCCAGGAGCTGTCCCATAGTCACAGAACCACTTTCCCCCTCCCTCTCTGCTCTGGTGTCCCCTCATTCTTGGTCTTCAACAATCACAGGGCTCTGTGGGCTCAGACTGACTTTACATGACTGCAGGGCCCCACAGGTGTTGCCTGTCTCAATTCAAATTCTCAAGAGAGCAAATCTCATTGAATGGGCTGGGCCAGGTGGCCACCTCTGGCCCGATAAGCCATGCCCAGGGTACCATGTTACCTGGTACACCATTCCCCCGTACCAGGCCCACCCTTCCCACAGGCTGTAACTGAGGGGGGCTTGCCTGGAGAAGAGCTCATGACATCCTGTGGCAGGGAGGACCTATACTCAAGCCTGAGCCACCCCAGCCCCCAGAATTCCCTCTCAGGGGACCTTCACTGATATTCCTGTGTTTGGAGTCTCTAGGAGAAAGAACCACTCCCACAGGCCCCAGAAAGTTATAGCTTTAGCGCAGAGAAAGCTAGACCCTGGGTGAGTGAGGGCCAAGCAGACCAGAAAGGGGGTCTAGAAAGCAGATCGAGCATCTCCAGGGAGCTGAAACTGGGGGGTCAGAGGCCAGAGAGCTCAGCCAGGTAGAACCCCAGCTGCTGGAAGAAGCAGGACAAAGAACTCCGGAACCACTAGCCAACAACGCCATGGCAGCTGCGGAGGGACAGGGCCCTGCAGAAGCTGTGGCCTGGAGCTCTCATGGCAGGATACAGACAGCTGGGAAGGCAGTTCCAGAACCCTGTGTGGAGGAAATAGCCTGGAGCCCCCAGAATTTAGAGTGAGAACCCAGAAGTCTTGAGGCAAAGGGTGTTAGAACCTGACCCCATGCCCAGAGTTGGGAGAGCCCAAGGACCTGGAGCTGGCAGCAGACCTTGTCCGGCTGAGTTCGAGAAGCCCCCTGCAGAGCACAAGGGAAATGCACTCCCAATACGGGTGAGGGTCCAGGTCCACATGGAAACCCAGATGACAGAGGAGTACTATGGGGGTTCAGGCAGACTGGGCAGGGCTCTGGGGACCCCCTACCCCAGGGACAGGCCTTACTGGCCCCTTGGACCGCTGAGGCCCCAGAGCTTCCGACAGGGAAACAGCAACCTGTGCTTCTGTGAACTGAGCGGGGTAGGACTGGCCTGAGCACCCTGAGGCAGGCAGGCGGCCCTCCTCAGAAGCCCCAGGTCCGCACGGCACCAGGAGGAGACAGACGCCCGCTGGGCCACTGCTTCCCTGAGCCCCACAGGCTTGGCACCATTTAAGACCCCAGGGCAGATGCTCTTCAAGGAGAGCCCCCTCCCCACTGCCTGCAGACCTGCCACCTGCAGGGGGCAGGGGTGGGGGGGTAGAGGGAGCAGTCCTGGGGAAGGGCCAGGGAACCTTGGGAGAGGGGTCTACCCAGGGCCTCCTGGCGGTAACCTGCCTATGGGATGGGGTCTAGGCAGGCCTGGGAGCACTCTCAGTCCCTTGGGGGAGCCCTGGCCGCCTCCCCAGGCTCCATTTCTGCAGTGCAAAGCGTTTTGTAACCATTAAAATGCTGTCCAATTATCGCGTGACGCCATTTACATAAACTACAAGACCAGGCATAACTAATCGATGCGGTTAGAGGTCAGCAAGTCTCTGCCCTCGTGGGAGTGGCTGGCAGCCCCCAAGAGGGGGCTTCTGCAGGGGGCCTGGCGATGCTCTGCTTCTTGATCTGGGAGCTGGTTATCTTGTGAAAATATGTTTTGTGAAAATTTACTGAGTTACGCACTCCTGACAGCTGCACTTTTCTGTACATACTTATACTTCCCTAAAGTTTTAAAAATGAGAACCAACCAAACAGCCGCGGCTACCAAGCCCAGTCCCATCTATGCAGCCCCACCCCCAACCACGCTCCGACCTACGGGGAGGCACCATTTCCACTTACAAGGTACCTCTCGGACCGGGGGCGATAGCAAAGTTGCCGAAAACGCCTTTATCCCCACGTGCCCAGAGATGGAGAACGTCTCCCGACCACCCGGGGTGTTTCCATTCCAGGTGTGTGGGAGGCTGAGGGCGCCGGGGGTCGCCCCGCGAGGCAGGGTGCAGGCTCCGCGCGGCGGGGCGCGGAGGGCGAGTCTGCTGGGGGCGGGACGCGGGGGTGCCTCC